GGAGGATGTACGGTAGTGCCGGGGGCCCGGCCGGCACGCCGTGACAGCCCGCCCCAGCACCCCGCTCGCCTCGCCACGGCCGGCCGAGCCCCTTCCTGCGGAGGAAACATGTCCAAGATGCCGGCCAAGAAGAAGAGCTGCTTCCAGATCACCAGCGTGACCACGGCGCAGGTGGCCAGCAGCATCACCGAGGACACCGAGAGCCTGGATGACCCGGATGAGTCCCGCACCGAGGACGTGTCTTCTGAAATCTTTGATGTTTCCCGAGCCACTGACTACGGCCCCGAGGACGTCTGCGAGCGGAGCTCTTCCGAAGAGACTCTCAACAACGTGGGCGAGGCCGAAACTCCCAGCAGCGTCTCTCCCAATCTCCTTTTGGACGGACAGCTGGCTGTGGCTGCTGCTGGGGTGGCTGCAGGCCCCAACGGGGGGGCTGTGCCCAAAAGTTCGGCTGTGCCCCTGCCAGCTGTTGCCCCTGGCGCTGCTGTGGGGGGAAGCAGCAGTACTCAGGCTGCTCTGCCCTCCACAGGGCCTTCTGCACCCGCTGCCTCCGGAGCCATGTCTCAGACGGCGGCTGCTGCGTGCAGCTCACGCTTCAGGGTGATCAAGCTGGACCACGGTACTGGGGAGCCCTACAGGCGAGGCCGATGGACGTGTATGGAGTACTATGACCGGGACTCAGATGGTGGTGTTCTGAGCAGGACTGGAGATTGCATTAGGCACAGCAGCACCTTCGAACAGGCTGCTCAAGAGAGGGACAGTGGCCTCGGTGCCACAGGAGGTTCTGTTGTGATCTCGGCTGTGCCAGCGTCAGCCCATGGCCCCGATTCTATAGCTGACAGCTCCCTGGCTGCTGTGTCACAGCTGCTTCAGACAGAGAAAATGAACCAGTCCTCTCTACAGCAACCTAATTTTGTCATTGGGCAACAGCAGCAGCAGCAACAGCCCGTAGGTGGGGCCGTGCCTCAGAGTACTGCTCAGCCTGTGTTTTCTGGGGCTTCGGGAGCAAGTCAGCAAATGATAGTGCCGCAGCAGCCCCAGCCACAGGTAAATCCACAGGGTGCTTCACAGGCTGGACCCAACGGGAAAGGCATGGCACCTCCCAGTGTGACAGTAGGGCAGTCAAGCATTCCTGTGGCCCAGCAGCAGGTGCAGCAGGCAAACGTACCAGTGACTCAGCCTCAACAATTTGCTTATTCTCAGTCCCAGATTCCACCAGTGCATCTACTGCCGACGCAGCCTCCTGGGCAGGCTGAATACATGCAGCACATGACAATGATGCAGTCTCAAGGAGCTATTCAGCAGGCTACTACAAGCTCTGCTTCGAGTACTGTGGCCTCCAGCCTTCCTGTGGGGCAGGTGACGGGCCAGAACCCCTCACCTGTGGGAGCACCAGTGATGGGGGTGTCAGCGCAGCCCAGCGAAGCAGTCGGACAGGGATCGGGGTTGATGCAGAGTGGCCAGGCACAAGCCAGTCAACCTGGCATCCCACAGCCGGGAGGTGTGGTGCAGCCAGGCCTTGGGCATACGGGGGTTGTGCAACAGAAATCTGTGACTCAGCATCCAATGGGGGGAAGCAGTCAAGTGTCAGGAATGCCTGGTGCTCCCCATGCTGTGGTCCCTGGAGTCCAGAGCGTGCCTGCGGTTGTGCCCGGTACAAGCGTGCCTGGTGTGTCCACCACCGCTTCTGTTACTATGCCAAACGTCCCTGTTACGCTGGTCCAGTCCCAGCTGACGAGCCACCCTTCTGTCAGCAGAAGCACTGGTGTGGTCCAGTCCCAGCACGTCGGACACTCGATGATGCAAGGTGCGCCCAACGCACCCGCCAGCCTGCCTCAGGCAAACCTCGGACAGTTTCAGACCCAGGCCCAGTCCTTAGTAGGCCAGATCGATGATACTAGAAGAAAATCGGAACCCCTACCTCAGCCACCACTTTCTCTTATAGCTGAAAATAAACCTCTTGTGAAGCCTCCCATTCCAGACACTCTAGCAAATCCTCTTCAGTTACCTGCAAGTACTCCAATGAACAGTCTTGCTAGCTCTGTTTTTGGCATATCCATTCCTGTTGATGGTGATGAAGACAGGTATGAATTATTTTATAATGCCATAAAAAAGAGGCATATTTTTCGGGGGGAAAAATGTCAACTTTAAAGGTATTGCCAAGTTTTTTTTGTAAATTCATATTTTCAGAAAGTCATGCTGAGGTTCGCCTGGACTATATTTTTATTTTAAGAATGCAAACCATAGCAAAGTGTTTAGGCCAGTAGTGAATTGTGCTTGTTTTTTGCAGGGTGTGAATGCAATTACTTTTCTCACAAAATGGGGTACAAAGTATCCTGAAAGCTGTTCAATGCAAAAATAATATGACCTCTTCAAAATCAAAGGCTGAAAGCTGTCTTTCTGTAGCCAGTGGCTCAAGATGTGAGACGGGCTGCTCTCTCCTTTTTCCAGAATGCATTATAAAACACTTCAGTGACAGCAGGGTTAAAATGACACTGTATTGTAGTGTTAAATCTGTGTGATGCTATCTCAGGGCTTTTAACAGAGTTTCTTGATTTTTATCCTGCTGTGGAATTAACACTTTATAGTGTCAGTTAGTAAGGAGACACTTGCACTTGGATGTGGATTTATGTGCAAATCCATATGCGGGGAAAGCTCTGCAGAGAATGATCCTTTGTATTGAGAAAACAGACGATGTGGACACGGTGGGAAGTGTCCTTCCCACCCTTACAGTGAGGGGTTTTTTTTAAATTGCAAAGTAATTTGGAACTATGAGTTGTAACAGAGGGGTGTGGTGTGAGCAGACTCCTAAGAGGGCCTGAGAGAGGGTGTGTGGCTGCTGTTCCCATAGACACATTAGACTGCTCTGAAGGCCAAAACTATTTGATTGATTTCTTTGAGGGAAAGGAGTCTCAAGCAGTGTTTAAGCACTGAATTTAAGTCCAAACATTTACTGTCAGGATTGCTGCAGTTTGGAGGAAGGGAATGCATGTGTGTTATTTATTTTTAAAAACAGGCATTAGACCATTATGAGCAGGTCTTGTGGTGAATTTCTTTGCAAGTCTTCCCTCACCTTGGGACAGCACCAGACATTAAGATAATGTGGTCAGTGTTGCTTTGAGGATGTTTTAGTGAAGCAGCTGTGTCTGTGGGGTTGGGGTGCAGTGGATGGAGAGAGCACCTCAAAGTGGATGTTTGGAGAATTCAGGCTGCAGGTTTAATGCTGGCCTGTGCTTGCTGGAGAATTGGCTGACACTGTGTCTAAGAAAGTAACTGCTGTGCTTTTCTGCAAGGAGAAGCTGTTGTTTGGAAACCTGTGCTGGTTCTGATTAAAGTGGTAAAGGACTGACAAGAAAAAGTTTAAAATTTACTCGCAGTTTGCCTACCTTAAGAGGATTGCTAACCTGGCTGACAAACTGCCTTGTGCAAATAAGGTTAGATTTCAAGCTGGTGGGTTCTCTTCATAGCTCAGTGTTTTTTGAGGTGTTTTGTCTGGTAATCAGTCTGTTGATTCAGGAATCAGAAAGAAAGGAATGCATTTTGCATTTGTTTTCCATAGCTTCTAATACTTAATATAAATTGTGGTAATGAACATGAGTATCAGTGACAAGTGAATCACTTCTGTGTAAAGATAGAGAAAAACATATAACTTTGTGTGGCACTCCAGTGAGTCACCTCTTGGTGCTCCTACCAGAACAGTAATTTTTAAAGCTAGTTTTCTAGTTTAGTCATTGAACTTGCCACCTTGCCACGGTGCTTTACATGGTGTTCATTTCTAAAGAGATTCTCACACTTTGCCAGGAGAACTGTGAGTAAGAAGAGGAAATGGGGTCTGGATGCAGCGTGCTCCTTTTGACAGGCCATGCTGTGGTGTTCAGTAGAGACACGAATGTCTGGTTATCAGTGAAGGAGTGCCTGTGTGTCGTTTGTCAGTTCTGCACTGGGTGATAAAACTGAGCCGTGTGCTCGGCTGTCGGAAAGCCAGGAGCACATGTGTGCTGTGGGAGCCTTTCCCAGCTGGGAAGGTGTTCCTGGTAAGCTATGAAAGCTCACCTTAAATGGACCTAGACCTCATATATAACATAGGAGATGAATACAGAGACAGTTGATCAAAGTTTATTCTTTTCTCCCCTCAAGCAGTAGCCTGACTTCCACTGGCTTCAGAGAAAGGTGAGAATAAAAACCTAGCAGCTTGTTAAGGCTGTTTTACCACTTGGTTTTTATTTGCTTTACTCTCTGAGAAGGCTTTATTGTAAGACTGTCTCCTGCTTGTCTGCTGTTCTATTCTTGCTCCTGCTTTTTTTCTCTTCCCAGCTATTTAAATTGTGTCACTACTCCCATGGGCTTTGCCCAGCTGCCTTATCTACTGGAATCAGTCGTGAAATAGTTAATGAAGACCTTCAAGTGTCATTAATAGGCTGGGGGTTGACACTGATAAAGCTATTAAGGCACAAAGGGAGCTGATACATCATGAGTCATGGTTTGTGTTGGCAGGTCCAGGAAGTTACTGCACAGCTCAGTTCAGAGAGGTTACTTGGTGGTCATAGAATCTATAAATCATTGGAAAGCATTTTTTTTTTCTTTGTCTTTCTTACTATTAATGTGTAACATTCCCAGAAAGGGGGCTCAGTGCGTAGGCAGGTATCTACGTTTCTTCTGGCACCTTTAGTTATACTTCAATATTTGCACCTACTTGAAGCTTCACAGACTTGTTTAGATCATTCTCCTATAGTCATCTTCTAAAACAGTGACTCATCAAGGAGTAGTGTATAGTTCTCAATACCCTGGATTTATCTGGAAAGTCACTCACCATTCTGAATATGAAGAGGAACTGTTTTAAAGGTAAAATAGTAAAGATGGAAATTCTTTGAAAGCAGCATGTCAGCACTGCAGTAAACATGATGTAAAAAGCTGGTCAGTTAGTGTGTTTCTGAAAAAATATTTTTTGTATTTCTGCTATCTTTGTTTTAAATCAGACAACATCTAAGGTTATTAGGGGTGGAGGTGATCTAGCCTGATATATAAAGATAACTATGTTTATAGATTGCTTTCTTCCAAGCCATTGCCCAAAGACTTTTAATTTCCTGTTCCCATAGACACTTTTGAGAGTAGTCTATAAAAAATGTGATTTCTTGCATTGACCTGATGAATAGTGAAAAATCAATTAACTGGAAAGTCTTGTCTTGGGGGAAGAACGGGTGGATAGGTAGTCCACAAGAATGAAAAAGAAAAAAGCCTTTGGTGTGTCATGCCTTCCTTGAGAAGCAAAGCCAGTATTTCAGTTGATGTGTTCAAATTGCTAAGCTCTTAAAAGGGAAAAATTGTTGTGTGAAATTATGAAATTTTTACAACATAACACAGTATTATTTTCTTTTCATCTTTAAATGTGGCTGGAGATAAAATAAACTGCAGCAGTATTGAAGGATGGAGGAACTAGTACTGATACTGAGGCAGATGTGGGTATTGCTGCCTCAAAGAGGGAGCCTGAAAAATACTAATTGTGTAAAAACACAACTAGAACTAGGTCTCAAAATTGCTCTGACTCTTCTTTTTTTGTTCAGCACTAGTACTAATTATTTTGGAGGGAGGGCAGTTAGAGCACCTGAGAGGATTTTGGTGTTGGTCTCTGTCATGTTCTCTGCTTACCCTTATGCCCATGTATACACAAATTTGTAATTGACAAGTAGAATATTTCATCTGGCTAAATAACTTTATTTTGGCTCTTGGGGGGAAAAGAAACATGTTGCTTCTGTTATAAGAATGTTACTGAGAAAGCTTGTTCAAACCTCCTACGTGTTTGGCAGGCTTCTGGGGCAAAATATTACTAGGGCTGTTGGAAAAGGAGCAGAGTATAGATCATTTTCCAGAGATAACTGACCGGCTTGAACTGTTCCGGCTGTATTCCAGGAACACTGATGAATGGCTGCAATTGTGAACTGGCAGCTATGGCAGCTGAGCTGTTGAGAGCCCAACAGTGCAGGGCTCTCCACAGTGTGTCTCTGAGCTCAGCTAAATCATGTATTTGTATGGAGCACTAACTGCTGGGAGAACTGTGCTCTTGAGACCATGTTCATCATTTAAGGACAAAACTGGGCATGGGATCACTTAAGTATTGCCCTAGATGCATATTTTATTGTGCTCCTAAAGAAAAAAGTAAGTGTTCTGCAAATAAATATCAGAAAATATGTGATACTTGAATTGCATTAGTACTCAGTGTTACTCCTTTCTTCACCTTGCTCATAAACTTTGTAGAGGTTTGATCTCTCCTACAGCTACTGACTTGTCAGCTCTCCTCCTGAAGGCCTGTGTTTGTGAATATGTGTGGAAGCAGGTGGGAATGCAACCTGGGCAGACACACTCCAGAACCTGGAGAGCCTTCAGTCTGATGGACTGTTCAAAAACTAAGCTGGGACTTCTGGGGTCACCTCTGCAGCTCATGGCAGCAAACAATGGTTAATGCAAAGAAACTCCAGTTGGTTGTGTTCAGTGCTTGCTGTACTTTCTGTAACAAAAATTACCAAAGGTAACTGCAGCACTGCATGAGTTTCTGGGTGGTGGAAAGCCTATTGTGCTGTGCAGTCAGTTTTGGAGTGGTGCAAGATAGCTAAACAGAACTGTGGTTGCTTGTTTGACAGTATGGGTTTCTAGTTTAAACATTAAAATGACTTTGTTAAGTCAGTGCATTCTTAAAATTAATGAGGTCCAAGTGTTTCAGGTGAGCAAGTTATTAAAAGGAGGAAATGGGGGAAATATTTGAAAGAAATTTACAGTGATACTGTTCAGTTTGTTTTAAAGACTGTAGTGACCAGCTCTGACAGGAGAGGTTCCCTGTGCCTCAGACTCCCGAGTGTTCTGCTCAGCTGCTGGGGGTTTGTTTTTCCCTTGTCTCCTGTAGAAGAGTGCAAATGTTCCATAGCTGATTTCTGAATGCTGTCTGTATGGGAGAAAGAACAGCATATGTTTTATGGAAGCTATTTTAAACTTCTTGTTAAAAGCTGAGTAATTTGGATGTTTTGAGAAGGCAGGACTACCTAACTGCTCTCAGACTCCAGAAGAGCTGAAAGTTCTCCGAGGCTGCATTTTTACAGGAGGTGCTGATAATTTTTATGACTTCAGGTGACAATATAGTAAAGAGGAGTTGCTCCCTGTTAACTGTACTGGATATTTGATTACCAGCCTGTTGTATGTTGAAGCTGTATATTAATTTTCCTGTTTTAAAGCTGGCAATTAGCAGTTTCTGTTGCTCAGGAGAAGCGCAAACTTGTTTGTGCTTTATGGGTCAGCAATGATTCCTTAAGAAATATCTGTGAGACTCCTCCTGCTAAAGTATATCTGGATGGTTCTGTTCAATAAATCTAGATTGTCAGGCACAGGTGTCTGCTTTTATTCCTCTATTTGACAAAGTATAAAGATAGAAGTATTTATAGTAACAGCTAAAGCCACTGTCTCCTGAGAACATTCTCCAGACGTAAGAGGTCACTTGAAGTGCAGAGTAAGGTTGTAGTTTCATTCCTCTTGAAAATTATTATATCTTTAAACTTCACACTTCATAAATGCAAATGTGTATTAAGTGTCAGGAAGTCTTTGCTTTATGGGATAATCTATTTTTACTCAGGGCAGGTGAATTACTTGGCCACATGAAGGACAGCTGGATGCTTGTCTTAATTTTCTTTGTCAAGCAGAGCAAAATTAGTCCTGGAGTGCCTGTATCTGTTCTCCCTTGGAAGCTACGAAGGATGCATTTGGATTGTGACAGCTTGCCTTGAGTGCTTTTGTCAGTGCAGAGAGAAGGTAGAAATATGAATTAGTGCCCTGGAGAGGTATGAGCTGTGTGTTGCACTCAGAGCTGGCGGGTTTGTCTGGTACACATTAAAGGTTACAAGCAGGAATGGCAGTCTGGGCACAGCCCTGCAGGTGTGGCCTCAGCAGTGCTGAGGGGAGGGATCCCCTCCCTCCACCTGCTGAACTTTGCCTTGTGCAGCCCAGGATAACATTCACCCCCTCTGCAGCGAGGGCAGAGTCCTGACCCGTTTGTCTGGGATGGGATGAGTGTGGCAGGTGTGTGAGCTTGCAGGGGAGAAGTGTAGATTGGATAGGAGATGAGATACTGCTTTCAGTGAATGATCTGAGGCTTTTGCATCCATCTCAAGCAGATTTAATATCCAGTGGAGGAAGGGGTGGTCAGAAATGACGGTTAAAAAGCCCTGCTTGCTTCTCCATCAAGTTACTTTGGCTGTTTTTGTGGGGGTGTAGATGAGAACTCCTGGGAATGCCTCCTATGTAGAGCACTCTTTGGTGGGTGCAAGGCCTGTAAATACCTTGACCAACCCTACAAATGCGTTCTTAAAAACACTTTTTCTGTAAACCAAGTGGTGAGCACTCAGTGACAGCACAGGCTGGCCTGAAACTTGAGTGGTAGAGGTTTTGTAAATGGTATGGGAAGGCAGACAGATTTATAAAACACTGTGTAAATAACCATGCCATACATGGCTTAGGATCTAATATCTTTCTTTAAAGCCAAGTGTGTAATTTGAAACATTTGCTCATAGATGCATTCCTGACCATTATCACATGAGTAGGACAGGTGGGATTTGTCTGAGTCTGCTTGAAGTTGTTTTATCCACTCATTTTTTTCCCCTGACAGATACAGAAATATTTTGTTGTCAAAAAAAGAGGAGCCATTTGTATTTATAGATGACTGAAATAGCTGAAAGTGTTGTCACTTCAGCTTAATGGGAGAAAAAAAAATAAATCTCATTTTAGTGCAGTTTTATTTGAGGATGAGTATTCAATTTATAGAGACCCTGGCGCTGTTCCACTGTGCCAGGCCATTTTCACCAGAAATCACAGGCAGCTTTCCCTTCATCACTGTTTATGAGAAAATCAGGTTTTGTGGGCATCACAGGCAGCAGGAGCCTGATCATCTTCAATAACATGTTCATACATACAAATATATACCTTTTCTTTACCAGCCATGTTATATAAAAGTCAACACTTCTGAGGGATTTTACAGATTTTTGGATCTATAATGCAGTACTTAAAAATGTGGATCTTTTTATTTCAGAAATGCTGAATTTAATATTATGCTTCCTCCTTCATACCAGCGTATCAGGGTCTGCTGGGTAGGAGCACTCAGAGCTTGCTCTTGCATAGGATCATTTGCAGAGAGT